CCGAGCCCTCGGGGCTCCAAACCAAACATGCACACAACCTTAAAAACATCTTATGGACTTACTCGTGCGATCAAATCGCCAAAATAACATCATATACATAGGATCAAGCCTCAAACACATGATTTTCTTCCTTCAACTTTCATAACTCAAATTCTCCATTTTTAGTCCGAAACACGTCATATAACGTCCGTTTTTAGCCAAACTTTACAGATAGTGCTTAACACATATTTAAGACTTGTACCGGGCGTCAGAACCAAAATACGAGCCCGATACCTATATTTTCTAACCCCCTTTTCATTTCAAATTTTCATATCAAATTTCAGAAAAACAATTTCTTTCAAAAATTCATTTCTCGGGCTTGGGACCTCAGAATTTGATTCCGGGCACACGCCTAAGTCCCATATTTTCCTACGGACCCTCCGGGACCATCGAATCACAGGTCCGGGTCCGTTTACCCAAAATATTGACCGAAGTCAACATTATGCATATTAATACCAAAATTCATCAAATGTTTCACATAATTCACATATTCTAACATAAAAACTTTCCGGCTACGCGCCCGAACTGCGCACGCCAATCGAGATAATTAAAAGCGAGGTTTTCAAGGCCTCGAAAACGCGGAACAAGGAAGAACTACGGTTATGACCCTTCGGGTCGTCACAAATGCGTACTGAAAATACTTAACTTTCAATTATATAGATATTGTGTTGAATAAGTACATAATGTAGAGTTTAATAATCAATTCCTTAAAAAAAATATAATATATAATTCAAACCAAAGCAGTAATAATGTTTTGACATAATGTAGAAAAGGAAACTAAACTTCGTGAAATCACATAGTTAGGGAGCGATTTTCCTCCAATATGGAATTTTTCGATGCTAATTCGAATTTAGTCGGAGCACAATGTGTGTACCTGATATCGGATAAAACATCAAACAAAAAAAAATTAAAATTACTTGAAAAATACAATATTATTTGCCATTTTTGTGGTGTGATGGTTTACTTTAGTTAAGCGTTAAGGTACGTGGAAGAAAACAAGATAAGTATATGGAAAAAAATAATATAAAAGATAAACAATGCTTAAAAGTCATTTAGTTATTGCTACCTTCCATGGCACTCTACTTTTTCTTATACTTTCATCAAAAAATGGTAATGTAGTGGCACTAAACCCCAATATCACATTCAAATTTGATGCGGCAATGATTCTTTGTCTACAGTCAAAGTATGTTTTTTGCTTTTAGCTTAACAAAATAATAGTTTTTTCCCTGTGGAAGAATGGTATGTATAAGAAAAAAACTCATGTAATGAATAAATTACATAACTCTTCTATGTAAGTGGTAATAGTCTAGTCGAGTTTAAGTTGTTCAAAGTATTATTGTTAATATGAAATTGATATGACTTTAGAACTTCAAAAATATATAGGTAAGACATAGTATATCAAATAGTTGAAAGCTAAAAACTTTCTTGGCTTTAGAGATTAAGTTGAAGCTGGACTCTAGTTCAATTAGGAGAAGCATTCTTATCCCAATACAAAGTTAAACACTACTCTTAGTTGAATTCGAAGTAGCGTCTATATTAGATAGTGCTTAACTTTACCATTTTATCCTACTTGGGAAAATCACTTTGAAGGAATAATGTAGTTTTTAAGGATATAAAAGTCTATCAATATTTTCAGGATATTTTTGTCATTCAATATTTAGTGTTTTAATATTCGTGCTTTTATAATAACTAGTATCTATAAACATGCGTTGCACGTTAATATAGCACATGATGGTTTAAATATTTATTTTTTATGAAGGAACAATATAATTTAATTAATGAAAGAAATTTTATATATAATATTACAACAATCATCTAAATGCCGAAAATATTGTTACATTAGCATAATACGTGAATTCAAAATGAAAGAATATCATCAAAACTTACATAAATGATCAATTTTAGTGATGTTAAGTAGATAATTATGTATTGCGGTATAAAGTTATCTAATGTGATAGTATCTTACCGAACACTTCTTTATATTGATATCTCTCTTGAAAGTGCAAAATATAGTTATTCATGTAAGAAAACATATTGTGGTAAATATAGTTCAATATTTAGGATGTTTGTCATTGTGCTTTATTTATTATAACTGCAAAACATAAACATACTGAAAATTATTTTCAAATAAATTTAAAAGGATATTCTTTAGTTTCGAAAGACAAAAGTTGAATTCGGGAATAAACACATACTTAGAAGCACATTGACCAGTATCATAAGTTCTGTATGTATGACGTTATTTTAAAAACTTCTATATATCATATGTGTACTATTATATAAGCTATTCAGCGAATCTAAGTTTTCAGTAGCATGACAGACATATTTTTCTTCAAAATCAACCTATATGCAATGGAAGATCAATTTTAACTTAGTCTATTATATATATATGGCGACACTAACATATGTAGGAAATAATGAATTTGATAACAAACATGTATAGTAGAAAGCCATTTGGTATTCAAGTATTTAAGTATTTTTCTTGATAGTTATTGTTGGTATCATCTTCTGCTAAGTCAGAACTGAACAATATTTTGCTTTTACCATAAAACTTAGCAATCAACATTTTATTTAGTTAATCAACATATTCATTTCTGTTAGTTAAGAAAGCTCTTTAATTTCTATCATGTAATTTGCACA